CTTTTACGTTCTGGTGCACATCAATGCGCACTAAACCCATTAACTGTTGCGAAAATTGTAAAAATTTAAGTCTACCCGTCTGCGCTTTACGTCTGTACTTTCAAATACTGAGTCAATATTGATGTTGGAGAGAGCCCAACATATTATTGTTAAGTCAATCTAAGGTTTCGGAAAAAGAACAAGAATTGCTATGTGTACTTCTTTAATCGGATGGTTTTCTATACAGGTGTATATCAATATCAAAAAGCTTTTTGTTTTAAGGCAGAATCTGCAGAATGAAAAGAGGTAACTTAATCTGCAGTGTATTCATTTTGAGGTATTTTATGTATACAGTTAATAATTAAAGTCAAAAAGGTTATATACCAGACATTGTCAGATTTACATTTTCCAAATAAAATGTATTGCAAGTCATCGACTTATAAACCGGGAGAGAGGGGGTCGGGGGACTGGGATAGGTATGGAAACCGGGAGAGAGGGTGAGGGAACCGGGATGGAAAGGGTCAGAGGAGGTCCCGGAACGGGGAGAGGTATGGAAACCGGGAGAGAACTGAGAAAGACGGTGAGGGGACCGGAATAGAAAGGGTCAGGGAACCAATCTTCGCAGGTTATTTTTCAAGTTGGCCCAAACAAATGCATGCGACTTGGCAGGTATGAATATTTATGCGTGTATATTTACATATATATATAAACAGATATTACAGAAAACAAAAACAAATTATTCACGTTTAATCTATTTTTTATTCAGTAATACCTTAAAAATAATAATTTCAACAGACAAAAACGTTTTTGTCAAATAATATCACAGAAATTCGAGTTCTTGTTCAAAAACCATCATTTGGGGACATAGCCGGTTTGTTTGCCAATGGATGTCATTTTTGTGGGGGATAAAGAGTTTAATACTCCTCACCCTCCTCCTCTCCTTCACCCTCAACGGAGTCGACACCGACCTCTTCGTAATCCTTCTCAAGGGCAGCAAGATCCTCACGAGCCTCGGAGAACTCTCCCTCCTCCATACCCTCTCCGACGTACCAGTGGACGAAAGCACGCTTGGCGTACATAAGATCGAACTTGTGGTCAAGACGAGCCCAGGCCTCGGCGATGGCGGTGGTGTTGCTCAACATGCACACGGCACGCTGTACCTTGGCCAAATCACCTCCTGGCACAACGGTGGGTGGCTGGTAGTTGATTCCGACCTTGAAACCAGTTGGACACCAGTCGACGAACTGGATGGTCCTCTTGGTCTTGATGGTGGCGATGGCAGCGTTGACATCCTTGGGCACAACATCTCCTCTGTACAACATGCAGCAAGCCATGTATTTGCCGTGACGGGGATCGCATTTCACCATCTGGTTGGCGGGCTCGAAGCAGGAGTTTGTGATTTCAGCAACAGATAGCTGCTCGTGGTAGGCCTTCTCGGCGGAGATGACTGGGGCGTATGTGGCCAGAGGGAAATGGATACGTGGGTAGGGCACCAAATTGGTCTGGAACTCGGTCAAGTCGACGTTCAGGGCACCGTCGAAACGGAGGGAGGCGGGGATGGAGCTGACGATCTGGGCCATCAGACGGTTCAAGTTAGTGTAGGTTGGTCGCTCGATGTCCAAGTTCCGGCGGCAGATATCGTAGATAGCCTCGTTGTCGACCATGAAGGCGCAGTCAGAGTGCTCGAGGGTGGTGTGGGTGGTCAGGATGGAGTTGTAGGGCTCAACGACGGCAGTGGAGATCTGGGGAGCTGGGTAGATGGCGAACTCCAACTTGGACTTCTTTCCGTAGTCGACGCTGAGACGCTCCATGAGGAGGGAGGTGAATCCGGATCCGGTACCACCGCCGAAGCTGTGGAAGATGAGGAATCCCTGGAGACCGGTACACTGGTCAGCTAACTTCCTGATGCGGTCAAGGACAAGATCGACGATCTCCTTACCGATGGTGTAGTGACCACGGGCGTAGTTGTTGGCGGCATCCTCCTTACCGGTGATCAGCTGTTCGGGGTGGAACAGTTGACGGTAGGTTCCGGTCCTGACCTCATCTTGAAAATTAAAAGTGAAAAAATATAAGTAAAAATATTCATTGGTGTTAGGCATTCACAAAATGAACATATTTATATCCATGTAATGAAGTAATAAGATATGTTGATTGAAGTCTGATGTACAGCATAGGATGCGTCATATTACAATATATAAGACTTATAGCTGTGATGAATGGTTTGTTGTGTACTGTATACTTGTTAGAACAGACGTCATCGCCAAAAATAGTTATGATGACCATGTACACGTTTCATGGCCTACAAATAGTTATGATACACGGTAGGGTTAATACTCGTACATTCAAATGTAAGCTCTTAGAGCTTATGTTTTTTTCCAAAGAAAAGTTCTATTAAATGCAACTATCAATAAGGGAAATAACTCTCGAAGTACTAGTACAGACTTACATCTGCTCGAGTTATTTCCCCTTAAGCATACAATACAATGGAGAAACACGTGTGTACGTCTACAAGTGCGTCTCATATGTCGGTCACAACCACACAACCACTCCCAAACATTACTCCTAACAACTCTAACCTTATCACCACAAATACGATATTTATTATCGATAGGAAATCGCGTCAACCAATTAATCTTTGTTAGGATTTAAATCGACTGACCGATTTCAACATGTTTGGGCCGACATAAATCAGCGGCGGGCTTTATTTAAACCATATTTTATTTCTTTTTTTCCCATGTAATGTACATACAATACATAAGTAGTAAAGTACAGGATTCAGAAAAAGTACTTAAATACTTGTATGAATCTGTCTCCTTAATTTCTGACAAGCGGATGACAGCACTACTAAGCTAAACAACGTCGTAAGAATAATATGTAATAAAGGAAAAAACTAAACCATAAGAGAGAGAGAGAGAGAGAGAGAGAGAGAGAGGGGGGGGGGGGGGGGGGGGGGGGGGGGGCAAGGGGGATGTCTTTATAATCGTGACTTAGTGATACTGTACTGTAGTTTCTACATACAATCGCATACTATAAGATAAGTGAACTCAACATAGGGGTAAAATAAATGTTTTAAATCATGACAAAGATGATTTGTGACTCGCTGGGATTCATGTGACAGCACTGTTAATTTGTGAAACGAATTATCGAGGCGGGCTTTATTCTACATGTACAAAAGGAATTGAAAATAATCGGGGGAAAATGAATGAAAAATAAGACTAACCGACTACGGTGGGCTCGAGATCGACGAAGACAGCCCTGGGCACGTGCTTGCCAGCTCCGGTCTCGCTGAAGAAGGTGTTGGAAGAGTCATCTCCACCTCCAATGGTCTTGTCTGAGGGCATCTGGCCATCAGGCTGGATACCGTGCTCCAGACAGTACAACTCCCAGCAGGCGTTTCCGATCTGGACTCCAGCCTGTCCAACGTGGATACTGATACATTCCCTCTGGAATGGAGTAATTCGATTTTAAATTTACAATACAGCAGAAAAAAAGGCGATTTTTTTTTCAAATAATTTACCGTTGGGTAAAATAAATAAACAACAAACTATAAAATTGTTTTTTTACAAATAATCAGTATTAAAAAAGGTAACTCACCATGTTGACTTGTTGTTGTTGTTAAACGTGGTCTATTAACTAGAAGAATACAAAAATAACCTAAAGCTCACTGTGACTGTAATGTGCCGTGTGAGAATTAAGCAATAATGGCGATAAGCTGAGCGCTCGTTTATATATACACACACGCTTGTCGTCTCCAAGGAACGTTTGTAACGAGCATTTTGATTGGTTCGTTTGAAATATTTTGCACAGTCAACTTAAATACGATATTTTTCATTGGATGGCAATTCACTTGAACGCAATGTTTGTTGTGCCTACCCTAAGGTGTGGAAAAGGCGAAAAATTCTATACAAATATAGAAGAACTCGCGGGCTATATGGTGCAATCATGTCACTATGTCGCTATAAGCGGTTGTCAAAATAGAAAAAAAAATGTGTAACAATTAATTTATCGAAGGAACTTGAACAATTAAGATTAAAAAAGAATGTTTCAAGTCTAAATGCCCGATAGCTGGCAATTTATCGAGTAGACAAGCACATTTGGCGTTTGTAATGTAGACGAGAAATAGAACAAAACAAAGAAAAAAATCACAAGAAGTGTTCACACTTACAATGATACCAATCTTTATCGAGCATGTGCTGAAGAGTAATACTATGAAGTTAAAGTTCAGTTTCATGTGCGTTCTCTACGTTTTAGACAGTGAATCGATATCATTCTAGAACGTTCCTTTTTAAGTAGGTCAACAGTATTTCCTTGTGTAGTTTGACATTGACTGTGTGTTATGACAATTGTATCCACAGGGGTGGATCTATGGATTTTAGGAGCCCGGGGGTCTAAACTTCTCTTTAAAATAATGATTAAAAAAGATAGAATGAATAAATACATAAGATATATTTACTCAATATTCAAAATAGAGAAGTATCATTGCATTTGTATTATGGGGTGGGAGCAAAAAATAAAGATACAACAAACCCTCCCCACCGCTCTCTCCAGCCTGACATGTTGAGAGAAGAGGGGTGAAAGGCAACATCGATTTTCACAGGATAATGTTGCATGTTTATATTTATGTATCTAAGTTATTGTAAATAAATGAGTATCACGTATCTAAAAAGTTAAAGCTTAAATGTTTCGGGGGTGGGGAGGAAGCCAGGAATGATGACGAAAGGAAACAGAAGTTAGGGGAAAGGGCAAAGGACTGAGATGTGGTGGAAAAGGAAGAGAAAGAATCGGGAAACCGGGAGAGGTATGGAAACTGGGAGAGAACTGATAGATGGTGAGGGGACCGGAATAGGAAGGGTCAGGGAACCAATCTTCGCAGGTTATTTTCAAGCTGGCCCGAACAAATGCATGCGACTTGGCAGGTATGCATATATATACGTGTATATTTAGTGATAAATAGTTTAAAATGTCCATGTGTATATTTATGTGTATATAAACAGATACTACAGAAAAGAAAAAAAAAATTATTCACGTTCAACTTGATATCTTTTTTAATCAGTCATGGATCTTAACCTGAAAAAAAATAATCAACAGACAAAAAGTTTTTGTCAAATAACTAATATCACAGAAATTTGAGTTCTTGTTCAAAAACCATCATCTGGGGGACATAGCCGGTTCGTTTGCCAATGAATGTCATTTTTGTGGGGGATAAAGAGTTTAATACTCCTCTCCCTCCTCCTCTCCTTCACCCTCAACGGAGTCGACCCCGACCTCTTCGTAATCCTTCTCAAGGGCAGCAAGATCCCCACGAGCCTCGGAGAACTCTCCCTCCTCCATCCCCTCTCCGACGTACCAGTGGACGAAAGCACGCTTGGCGTACATAAGATCGAACTTGTGGTCAAGACGAGCCCAGGCCTCGGCGATGGCGGTGGTGTTCCTCAACAGGCACACGGCACGCTGTACCTTGGCCAAATCACCTCCTGGCACAACGGTGGGTGGCTGGTAGTTGATTCCGACCTTGAAACCAGTTGGACACCAGTCGACGAACTGGATGGTCCTCTTGGTCTTGATGGTGGCGATGGCAGCGTTGACATCCTTGGGCACAACATCTCCTCTGTACAACATGCAGCAAGCCATGTATTTGCCGTGACGGGGATCGCATTTCACCATCTGGTTGGCGGGCTCGAAGCAGGCGTTGGTGATTTCAGCAACAGACAGCTGCTCGTGGTAGGCCTTCTCGGCGGAGATGACTGGGGCGTATGTGGCCAGAGGGAAATGGATACGTGGGTAGGGCACCAAGTTGGTCTGGAACTCGGTCAAGTCGACGTTCAGAGCCCCGTCGAAACGGAGGGAGGCGGTGATGGAGCTGACGATCTGGGCGATCAGACGGTTCAAGTTAGTGTAGGTTGGTCGCTCGATGTCCAAGTTACGGCGGCAGATATCGTAGATAGCCTCGTTGTCGACCATGAAGGCGCAGTCGGAGTGCTCGAGGGTGGTATGGGTGGTCAGGATGGAGTTGTAGGGCTCAACGACGGCAGTGGAGACCTGGGGAGCTGGGTAGATGGCGAACTCCAGCTTGGACTTCTTTCCGTAGTCGACGCTGAGACGCTCCATAAGGAGGGAGGTGAATCCGGATCCGGTACCACCGCCGAAGCTGTGGAAGATGAGGAATCCCTGGAGACCGGTACATTGGTCAGCCAACTTCCTGATGCGGTCAAGGACGAGATCGACGATCTCCTTACCGATGGTGTAGTGACCACGGGCGTAGTTGTTGGCGGCATCCTCCTTACCGGTGATCAGCTGCTCGGGGTGGAACAGTTGACGGTAGGTTCCGGTCCTGACCTCATCTGGAAAATTAAAAGTGAGAAAAAAATAAGTGAATTTTCTTTGGTGTTAAAGCATTCAAAAAATAAACATATTTGTATCCATGTAAGAAGTAATAAGATATGTTGATTGAAGTATGATGTACAGTAAAGGATGCGTCATAGAACAATATATATATATAGCCGTGATGAATGGGTTGTTGTGTACTGTATACGCGTTAGAACAGACGTCATCGCAAAACAAATGTTATGATACACGGTAGGGTTAATAAGAGCGAAGCTCTTTACCGGTAGGATGTGCGTGTACATAGATCTGATCCAACCAAACTGATTCCATCACTGAATTGTACAGCTACAGCCTAAATACTTTTTCGTACTTCCGGTGACCTCTTCCGGTTCATGGAACCCGTAAATATGCCTAATCGAACAATAGAGCGACATGTAACGCAGCAGGAAAATTATGTATTTGAAACAACGAAATTAAAAAAAAAATTGACCATATTCAATACACTGGGCGCCTGTTGATATTTGATCCAAATTTGTGATATTACCTTTAGATTTTACAACTACAACTGTGGAATTTCAATGCTAGATCTGCTTGTACAATAGATTGAATCTAGTTTCATCTAATGCAACAAAATTAACAATTACTAAAAAAAGACAAACATTATCTGTACAGTTTTGTACAGTATACTATCTTTATTGTTACTTAGATAAATATAAACTTTAAACGCTTGACAATTTGTAAATTCCTTTCAACTCAACTGTGTAAATCATTACAGCGTTTTAACTAGACATTGAAGTGAACACAATACTTTGCTCTACTTTATAAATATCAGTAAAGAGGAGAATGAGAAACATTATATTTGCACCACTTTTATTTTTGTTATGGATTGCATAATATTCGACCGTCAGTAACAATTTCTAATCAAAATCAAAACTATTCTGCATATGATGTACCTGGTGAGAGCAATTGTTTTTATTCAACCATATTTAACACCAATATTGACTCAAGAACAACAAGTCCATCATGAAACTGACATCAATCCATCAAGTTAACACAATCATCACTGAACACAACACAACACCCAATCTTTGACCCTCAAATTTGACAATGACATAATAAGAGTACCTATCAAACTTCGAGGAAAACATGGTCAAATTCGAAAAAAAAATCACAAAGTACGATTACACGAAGTTATACGATGGTGTCCATCCAGAAACTTCAATTGCAAACAAATGGTTTTAGCTGATATGCCAATCTATCTCTAGATATCTACAAAAACGTTATGACAACAGCGACGATGAAGAGGAGAAATATCCTGTTTCTAACGTTTATAATCAGTACAAACATGTAAATTTCAACATTTCACGTGGATTATCGGATTTATAAAAAAGAAAAATCTAAAATCTTCATTTTATACTTATATTGGTGGGAGACGTGACAGTCTCTAACCTGCTGTGTCTAACATGCTAAACATACTTGAATTAAAAACAGATACATCCTTCATGGATTGGCACATTCTGCCTACAACTCACATGATCATGTTTACTCTATGATTGTTTTTTCAAATGACATTTGTTTATTTAGGATTAAAATAATAATACATAATATTATGAACAGACAGTAGCAGAGGTGGGCGGTAAATATACTGGTATTCTTGGATAAAACAAGAACCAAATGATGATGATGCGTCATATTAGTGTAGTGCGAATGTGGATCAGGTATAATGTGTATCAAAATGGGTAATGTTATGATTCAAAAATTATACTATACTATTGAAACAAATGAACAGTACATGCTTCGCTCTCTCCAGGCCATGCCCGAGTCATATTACTCGTACATTCAAATTTAAGCTCTTAGTGCCAATGGTTTCCAAAACAACAGACTTGCATCGGCGCGAGTTATTTCCCCTTAACACTTCAATGGAGAAACACGTGTTCACGTATACAAGCGTGTCTCATATGTCGGTCCCAACCAATCCCAAACCTTACTCCTAACAACTCTAACCTGATCACCACAGATACGCTAGTGTTTTGTTTACATGTATACATGCTAAATGACTCATACATACTTTCAATAGTGTAACAAGGTATAAATTAAAAGTTCATATACATTTAATATATTATCGATAGGAAAGCGCGTCAACCCATTCAAGTTGATCCATTTATCGACCCGACAGCTTTGCTATGATTTAAATCGACTGACCGATTTCAACATGTTTGGGCCGACATAATTTAGCGGCGGGCTTTATTCTACGTGTACAATAAGACTTACCGACTACGGTGGGCTCGAGATCGACAAAGACAGCTCGGGGCACGTGCTTGCCGGCTCCGGTCTCGCTGAAGAAGGTGTTGAACGAGTCATCTCCACCTCCAATGGTCTTGTCTGAGGGCATCTGGCCATCAGGCTGGATACCGTGCTCCAGACAGTACAACTCCCAACAGGCGTTTCCGATCTGGACTCCAGCCTGTCCGACGTGGATACTGATACATTCCCTCTGGAAAGGAGAAATTTGATTTTAAATTTACAATACAACAAAAAAATATTATTTCAAATAATTTACCGTTGGGTAAAATAAATAAACGACAAAATACAAAATTATTTTGTACAAATTATCAATATAAAAGAAGATAACTCACCATGTTGACTAGTTTTCGTTATACAAAAATAACCTAAAGCTCACTGTGACTGTAATGTGTCTTGTGAGAATTAAGCAATATAATGGCGGCAGGCTGAGCGCGCTCGTTTATATACCCATATGCTCGTCGTTTCCAAGGACAGTATTCGTTTGTAACGAGCATTTTGATTAGTTCGTTTGAAATATTTTGCACAGTCAACCTAGATACGATATTTTTCATTGGATGGCAATTCACTTGGACACAATGTTTGTTGTGCCTACCCTAAGGAGTGGAAAATTCTATACAAATATAGAAGTACTCGCGGGCTATATGGTAACTATGTCGCTTTAAGCGGTTGTCAAAATAGAAAAAATGTGTGTGACAATTAATTAATCGAAGGAACTTGAACAATAAGATTTCAAAAAGTCTAAATGCCCGACAGCTGGCAATTTATTGAGTAGACAAAGACTTTTAGCACATTTGGCGGTTATAATGTAGACGAGAAATAAAACAAAACAAAGAAAAAAATCACAAGAATGCTCGATACAGATTGTTATCATTGTAAGTGTGTACACATGTGCAGAAGAATAATACTAGGCCTATGTAGTCTACGTTTTATACAGTGAATCGATATCATTCTAGAATGTTCTTTTTTAAATGGGTAAACAGTATTTCCTGGTGTAGTTTGACATTGACTGAGTGTTATGACAATTGTATCTAAAGGGGTGGATCTATGGATTTTAGGAGCCCGGGGGTCTTAACTTCTCTTTAAAATAATAATTAAAAATGATAGAATGAATGAATACATCGATATCTTTACTCAATATTAAAAATGGAGAAGTATCATTGCATTTGTATAACGCGGGGGGGGGGGGGGGGGAAAAAAAAAAAAAAACCCCCCCCNAACCCTCCCCACCGCTCTCTCCAGTTTTAGATACAATGTATCTAATACAATGTATCTAATACAATGTATCTAATACAATGTATACGTCAAAGAAGTAATACAATGTAATACAATGTATACATGTTGAGAGAAGAGGGGTGAAAGACAACATATCGTTTTTCACAGGATAATGTTGCATGCTTATCTTTATGTCTCTATGTTATTGTAAGCCTTAAATGATTATCACTTATCTAAAAAATTAAAGCTTAAATGTTGCGGGGTCGGGGTCGGGAGGAAGCCAGGAATGATGACGAAAGGAAACAGAAGTTAGGGGAAAGAGCAAAGGATTGGGATGTAGTGGAATAGAAAGAGAAAGAATCGGGGAACCGTGAGAGAGAGGGAGGGTCTGGGAACCAGGAGAGAGGGGGTCGGGGACCGGGATAGTAAGGGTCGGGGGACTGGGATAGGTATGGAAACTGGGGAAGAGAGAGAGAGTCAGAGAACTAGAAGAGAGAGGGTACGATGAGGGGACCGGGATAGTAAGGTTCGGGGACTGGGATAGGGAAGGTCCCGGACCGGGAGAGGTATAGAAACCTGGAAAGAACTGAGAGAGACGGTGAGGGGACCGGAATAGGAAGGGTCAGGGAACCATGAGAGGTATGGAAAACCCGGGAGAGAACTGGGAGAGAATGTTAGTGGACCGGGATAGTAAGAGTCAGGGAAATGGGAGAGAGGGTGAGTGGACCAGGATAGAAAGAGTCGGGGAACTGGGAGAGAGGGTGAGGGGAACGGGATAGGGTTGGGGGACTGGAATAGGGAAGATCGGGGACCGGGAGAGAGGGCGTCGGGGACTGGGATAGAGAGAATCGGGGACTAGGATAGGTATGGAAATCGGGAGGAACTGAGAGAGAGGGTGAGGGGACAGGGATAGGACGGGTCATGGGACTGGGATAGGTATGGGAACCAGGAGAGAGGTTAAGCGGACCGGGTTCGGTATGGGAGGATCAGGGACGGGAGAGGTACGTATGAGAGCCGGGAAAGAAGGAGTCGAGGAATCGGGAGAGAGAGGATGCAAGAAACGTTAACCGTGAACAGAGACGTATATACCATTTTATATGGCTTTATACGTCTCTGCCGTGAACGATAAAACTATGTCGTTTTCCTCTTCGATTTCAAATCGAGGTTAAACCTTGTTTCCTTGTATGATCATCTGTCATAATTTTAATAAAAATCGGTCATATCAATCGCGTCTTTCAATCATTTAAAGCCGCCATATTGGTTTTGTTGTTATGTACTATGTAGATCGTACGTACACGTGTACATGTCCCTATATATATATTGGTGTTCTGTTTAACGGACCATGCATAGTACTTCACGGAGCTGAGCTGGGACTTGTTGTTCAAAACACGATAAGCTTCACGAAAAATTATTCACACACACAATTTATGTGGTATATTTAAAAAAAAATATGAAATTAAAAATAATATTACATGTAGAAAATATAGGTTGATATATATAAAAACAAGAAAAACAAAAATATTTATAAATAATAAAATATTCCTCTAAAAACATATTTTTGATTTTTTCATAAACGATTTATTAAGCTAACAAGGCTTTGCCAAAGTTGTCCCAGGTAGTCTTTACTAATCCATACGTTGCATGTAGGCTTTCACGTACGATTTATCGTCATACTTGGCCATTCTAGTAACGTTCTTATATAGTTGTATGTGTGTACACATGTGTAATTCGTCCTGGCGCACACAGTGTTTATTCATTCCTCACTATAGGGACATTTAATGATTAACATAATCGCGTATTCCTTATCTACGTTGTGTGCTAAACAATTAGGGTAACGGTGACTCATACCTTATGTATGTACACGATCAAAGACAGGTATATACATGTACAGGAATGTATACATATATATATATATTTAAGGTAAGCCGGGTATGCTTGTCACTGAAATCGTCCTAAATTACTACCTTAGTTAAAGCCTAAGATATCGAAAAACGTAAAAAATAAAGTGGATTTGAGATCTGTTGGTATCAAGTTACGACTGTATACGTAAAATACGTTCTGGTCTACCTGACCCAAATCATTCTAATATTCGGATGTTTCCCAAGTACATTGGTAGACCCTAGTACTAAATATTAATACCCGGCCTCCTCTGAACGGACGCAATATATAAAATCTCTCGTCGTCTGAAAGCTACGTTATCGCAGCTATGAAGAACCTACATATTATTTACACTTTCTAATATGACTGTACATACCGGTCATCTCTTTATTGTGTACACATCCCCATATACCCGTGTATGGTGACACCTCCATATTGTGTACACATCCCCGTGTATGGTGACACCTCCATATTGTGTACACATCCCCATAGACCCGTGTATGGTGACACCTCCATATTGTGAACACATCCCCATAGACCAATGTATGGTGACACCTCCATATTATGTACACATCCCCATAGACCAATGTATGGTGACACCTCCGTATTGTGTACATATCCCCATAGACCCATGTATGGTGACACCTCCATATTGTGTACATATCCCCATACACCCATGTATGGCGACACCTTCATATTGTGTACATATCCCCAAAGACCCATGTATGGTGACACCTCCATATTGTGTACATATCCCCATATACATAGACCAATGTATGGTGACACATCCGTATTGTGTACATATCCCCATAGACCCATGTATGGTGACACCTCCATATTGTGTACACATCCCCATGTATGGTGACACCTCCATATTGTGTACACATCCCCATAGACCCATTTATGGTGACACCTCCATATTGTGTACATTTCCGCATAGACCAATTTATGGTGACACCTCTATATTGTGAACACATCCACATAGACCCATACCATGTATGGTGACACCTCCATATGGTGTACATATCCCCATACACCCATGTATGGTGACACCTCCATGTTGTGTACACATCCCCATAGACCCATTTATGGTGACACCTTTATATTGTGAACACATCCACATAGACCCATACCATGTATGGTGACACCTCCATATTGTGTACATATCCCCATACACCCATGTATGGTGACACCTCCATGTTGTGTACATATCCCATAGACCCGTGTATGGTGACACCTCGATATTGTGTACATATCCCGTTAGACCAATGTATGGTGATAACTCCATACTGTGTACATTTCCCCATAGACCAATGTATGGTGACACCTCCATATTGTGTACATTTTCCCATAGACCAATGTATAGTGACACCTCCATATTGTGTACATTTCCCCATGCACCCATTTATGGACACCTCCATATTGTGTACATATCCCCATACACCCATGTATGGCGACACCTTCATATTGTGTACATATCCCCAAAGACCCATGTATGGTGACACCTCCATATTGTGTAAATTTTCCCTTAGACCAATGTATGGTGACACCTCCATATTGTGTACCTTTCCCCATGCACCCATTTATGGTGACACCTCCATATTGTGGACATATCCCCATACATCCATGTATGGTGACACCTCCATATTGTGTACACATCCCCATATACCTGTGTATGGTCACACCTCCATATTGTGTACATATCCCCATACACCCATGTATGGCGACACCTTCATATTGTGTACATATCCCCAAAGACCCATGTATGGTGACACCTCCATATTGTGTACACATCCCCATATACCTGTGTATGGTGACACCTCCATATTGTGTACATTTCCCCATGCACCCATCTATGGTGACACCTCCATATTGTGTACATATCCCCAAACATCCATGTATGGTGACACCTCCATATTGTGAACACATCCACTTAGACCCATTTATGGTGACACCTCCATATTGTGTACATATCCCCATGTATGGTGACACCTCCATATTGTGTAAATTTTCCCTTAGACCAATGTATGGTGACACCTCCATATTGTGTACCTTTCCCCATGCACCCATTTATGGTGACACCTCCATATTGTGTACATTTTCCCATAGACCAATGTATGGTGGCACCTCCATATTGTGTACATATCCCCATAGACCCGTGTATGGTGACTCCTCCATATTGTGTACATTTCCCCATAGACCCATGTATGGTGACACCTCCATATTGTGTACATTTCCCCATGCACCCATTTATGGTGACACCTCCATATTGTGTACATATCCCCATACATCCATGTAAGGTGACACCTCCATATTGTGTAAATTTTCCCTTAGACCAATGTATGGTGACACCT